GGCCTATGGGAAGGCAGAATAGAGCCAGATGGGGAATTCAGGGAGAGAGAGGAAGAGAAGGCAGAGTTAGAAGAGATACTGAGTGGCTGTGGGACACAGGAAAACTTCTGCCTACAGGCTTTGTCTTTTTATAGTGTCCTAGATTTCCTGGATGTTGTGTGTCTGGATTTTTTAGGTTTAACATTTTCTTTGACCTAGGGACCTCTTTCTTCTATCTTGTCCTCAGTGCCTGAGATTCTCTTATTCTGTCTCTTGTATCCTGTGGATGAGGCTTGCCTCTGAGGTGCCTGTTCTGGTTCCTAAATTATTCATTTCCATTTTTCCCTAGTTTGGGTTTTCTTCATTGATTCCATTTCTACTGTCTTGAACAGTTTTCATTTCATTCCACTGTTTGCGTTTTTATAGATTTCTGTAACTGATTATTCACTTCCTTTTTAAGGAACTCTAACATATTTATAAAGGCTATTTTGAAGTCCTTGTCTCGTGTGCTTCACCTGTATTGTATTTTTTTTAGAGCCTACTGTAGTAAGGTTGCTGGGCTATAGTGGACTGATATTGTTCTGGCTGATACTGTGTTTTTACACTGGTGTTTGGGCATCTAGGTATTCTAGTTTGGGATGACTATAATTCTAGGTGCTTGTATCTGGTCTTGTCTTTGCTGAATGGGTGCTCCATTTCTTGGTTTCTGTTGCCCTTTCTGTTTCTTAGGACAGGGTGGTGGCTGTGAGTTGTTAGGTAGGACATGCTTCTCAGATTCTGTCAGGTGTGGCCACTAGGGTTCTGGGTAGAGTGTTTTCTCCAGGTATTAGGTTCCAGGTAGAATGTTTTCCTAGGTATTGAGTTCCAGGTAGGATTTTTTTTTTTTTTTTTTTTTTTTTTTTTTTTTTTTTTAGGTCTTGGGTTCCAAGTAGAATGCTTTTTTAGGTATTGGACATTGGCAGTAAGGAGAATAAGCTAGAAGTGGAGGTTTAGGGGTTCCAAAGAAAGAAGTAAAGCAGGGTATGCCACCAGGATCTGTTTAGTCCCTTGGGAATGGGGGCAGAGAAGGAGGTGAGGCCACAGCAGATAGTCTGCTACTGGGATGACACTGGGTTGTCTTTGGAGGAAAGGAAGGAGAGTGAAGACCCAAAGATCACCTACCTATTTCACTGGATTTCTGGAGAATGCCTGCTGGAGTTGGTGGCTGAGAAAAGGGGTTAGTGAGGTGAGGTAGTATGTAGGAGAAAGTCTGAGTGATTCACTGGAGATGGGAACAGAGAGGAAGGGGGACCAGAGTAGGTGTTCTGCTGCAGAACTAGGGATGAGACTGGGGGATTGGATTTGGAGGAAAGGAGGAGAAGTGAAAGTCTGATGATTGCCTGCCTGCTTCCCTGGTTACCAGCATCTCCAGCAAGAGGGAATTTATGCTTGGTAGTGTAAACCTAATTGTGGCTGGTGAGGTTATGAGCCCTATAGAGGAACATACCAATGCCACCTTCCTAAACCAAGTATAATTCCTACTACATTCTAAATATTTATCCTTTTTTTCTAAATATTAATTTGTATACACACAAATAAGTATGGCTCTCAGCCCTCACCAAAATGGAAACTATCACAGAAATCCATGACTGGCCAAAATGCAAAATGCAAAAAACAAAACAAAACAAAAATAACCAGACTGTGGGGTACCCAGCCCCAAGTGATACATCTACAATGCAACCATTATACCCAAGACTCAGGTTATATTGCAGATTGTAAGACAGAGGACTAGGGTGCCTGCTGTGAGAATGTGACTTCTATACATGAAAATCTCAACAATGTGGTCACTTAAACCAGACCTGCATAATGACACCTTCAGATAACATTTCAATACAGATGAAGAAAACCTTACATGGTCGCAAGCCTAGATGAAGAGCAATAGCTTCTGAGAAAGGGAGAATCATTCTTCTCCAGCATTGAACCTCTTGGTAAGTTATATAATCCCAAGCAGTCAATCCTAAATACATATGCATATGAGCAACACTAAACGGACTCACCAGGTTATATACATACACGCAGGTGTATATAGGTAAAAATAATAATATGAGCAAAGGAGAACAGTTATTTAAGGAAAGGACACAGTTGGCATTGGAGAGGGGAATGATGTAAATACAGTACTCATGTACAACATGCTTTAAAAAGCTTAAATAAAAGAAAAGAAAGTGCCAAGGGTAGCCTATGCAACGCTGAAGAATACACTGGGTGATGTACATGACTGGACACCACAGCCTGTGTAACACTCTGCACTTAAGCACTTAAGACGAAATCACTGGGAGGCTGCAGAGATGGCTCAGTGGTTAAGAGCACTGGCTGCTCTTCCAGAGGACCCGGGTTCAATTCCCAGCAACCACATGGTGGCTCATAACCCTCTATAATGGGATCTGATGCCCTCTTCAAGCATGAGGGCATGCATGCAAGCAGAACACTCACATTAAAAAAAAAAAAAAAAACACTTGGCAAGACATGATCACTGACACAATGATAAGCAAACTGACCTGTGGAACCAGAGTCCAAAAATACACTCATATGTCTGTCACCTGGTGTTTGACAGAAAACACACCAGAGACCAGTGAGGAAAGGAACCTATTTTTACAAACGTTGCTGGGTCAATTGAATATGAATGTAGAAAATGCACATCTCTCTGGAAAATCAATTTATAAAGAATGCAGGTTAGAACATAGAAAACCCTGACTAATTAAAGGAAGGTCTGTGTGATAAACTCATGTATGTTAAAATTACGAACTTTTATTGATGAAAAGACAATATTTAAGAAAATTGTCTGAAACAACATACATCCAAAGAATGATATCTAAAAGAAAGAACTTGTGGAAATGTGTAAGAGAGTCAGGAGCTTACGTTCTAGTAGGCTCTTGGTAGGAATATCAGTTAGTATGAATGCTTTGCAAAACTGGTTAGGGGTGGCTTCTATGGCCCAGCAACTCCTCTTTCTGCACAAGGTAGGAATGTGTTCCTTTGCTTTTCCTTTTAAAAGTGAACACTGGTGATGCAAGATACTTTTGCTACAGGCAATTCATCAGGCAGTTTCTTAGGACCTAGGCACTTTCTGTATATATTATGTTTAATGACATTAAAAAAAAATAACAGCCTTATAGTATATCATTTATGTTTTGGTTCCTGAAAAATTACAAAGTATGGCTTGTGTTTCTTTTTTGTTTTTAATTTATTTTCCTTTGTGTGTAGGAGCATTTTGTCTGCATGTGTGTATGATGTATGTGCCTGGTTCCCATAGAGGCCAGAAGAGGTCATAGGATCCCCTGGAACTGAAGTTACCAATGGATTTGAGTCGCCATGTTGGGAATTAGCACTGGTCCTCTGCAAAAGCAATAAGTGCTCTAAATCCCTGTGCCATCTCTTCGGCCCAACTGGCATTTCTTGTACTTGGAATTTGGGTTGCTCATAGCATTAACTTTAAAACCATTATCAATAAGTTTAAAATATTCTTTGCATGTGTTGTCTAAGATAGAATGAATCTTAAGACTGAGGGCTTTAATAACAGAATTCTTGGAATTAAAATCCATCTCTGTTCCTACTGTGTGATACTGGGTAAATTATTTGATCATTTCGTGCCTCCATGCCTTCACTGTAAATGATGGTGCTAATAATAGCACCTACCTTACATAGAGGGGGCTTGGTGCCACTTCAGTCACGCCGTAAGGACTCAGTAAGAGTTCGCCAGTTTTTATTAACTTCACGTTTGCTTCATAAGTATTTGAAGGCGACTGTGCAACTCCGAGTGATGGTTTCCAGAGATTACAGAACTGAAGAGGGGAAAGATGTGGAATTAAGATCCCAGAGCACCCAGGGCAGTGACCCACACAGTCCAACGACGCACAGTTATAGATGTTTGTTACTGGTGTACCCAAGAGGGGACTAAAGAAGCATATTTCTCCAGGAGATGAGAACTGTTATATATATATATATCATACATCCCTAAGGAGAGTGTGCTGTCAATAGCCCAGATGAACTAGACTTGCTTGTAAAAATCATTTTGCTGTTTCACGTTTTGTTTTTTTTTTTTTAAATCATAGTAAAACAAAACTCTGGATGACCATGAATATGCTAACAACACAGATGCTACAAAAATGTGAGGACCTGAGTTTAATCCCAAGAACAGAATACATGTAAACATGGAAGGAGAGAGCCTGCTCTATAAGGTGGCCACCTGACCTCCACACGTGTGCTGTAGTAGGCGATGCCCACGCACAGCTATCGCATACACACAAAATAATAAAGATAAAACAAAATGCAACTTAATCGTCGGCTCTGCACATAGCATATAAGCTTGTAACAAAACTATCCAGTTTTATTTGAACGCACTGTTGCCGCGGTTTCAAGAATTTGGAAAGTCTCTGAAATCACTTTTTGAGGAGTGAACGTTGATTTGACATAAAACCCCCCTGATTCAACCACCCCAAAGATCCTAGGGCTCTTTTGAGATGCTCTCAGTGGGCTGAAACGGTTTGCATTCATGATCATGCCTTGTGTCTGGAAAAGTTCACAAAAGGGAAAGCCAGTCACTGAATAATGAATGCCTTTATTCTACATAGAGTTTAATATGGGCTGGCTCCACAAGTCTTGGGGCTCCCAAGGTTTTCTAAACCACAGAAGGAAGCCCGCTACTCTGGGGCTTGGAAAAATTGGCGGCAGAGAAAAGTGGGAATCACCTTCCCAACGCGCACTACAGAGCTGGGGTACCCTGGCACCTCAAGCTCGGGTCTCCGTCCCCTCCCCTGGCCCGCCCCCGCCCCCGCCCCCGCCCCACGAGGCCGGCGCCAGCTCCGCCTCCCAGTCTTGCCCCACCCCTTCTGTAGCCCCGCCCACGGGTGCTCGGTCCTTAGCGGGTCCCGGGATCGGGGAGGCCAGGGGCGGGGCTCACCCCTTGCCCTCGGGTCTCCCAGGCTCCACCAATCAGTGAGCGCCCTGTTGGCCATCCGCGGCTCCAGCGCCCCTCCCTCTCCCGCCGGCCTCTGCGTCCCAGAATCCAAGATGGCGGGGTCCAGACGGAAGGGTCCCCGGGCCGGAGCGCGGCCGTTCATTTGCGCCCTGCTGCTGTCTTTCAGCCGATTCGTCGGGAGCGATGGCATGGGAGGCGACGCTGCGGCCCCCGGCGCCGCGGGCACCCCGGCCGAGTCACCGCACCGCCGCTTCGAGTACAAATACAGCTTTAAGGGGCCGCATCTGGTGCAGAGCGATGGGACCGTGCCCTTCTGGGCCCACGCGGGGAGTAAGCCGGGGCTGGGCCGGGGGCCGGGTTCCTTCCTTGCTTTCCGTCTCTTTGGTCCATCTCCCCAGTGCCCTGCAGGGCCGAGGGTCAGCTCCAGTCCTGCACGCCACATGCGCTAGGGCAGGACGCCCCACTCCACGCAGCCCCCCTACTCCAGGTCCCCTTAGCACCCAGGTTCCCCGCGTGTCCCGAATCTTCTCACCCAGCTTGTCCACCCACTTCCCAGTCGTCCCCTTCTTAATCTCATCGGTACTTTTGTTTGATTCGGAGGTGTTTTGTTACTTTCTGCAGTTCCTTTGCGCGCAAGCCAGTTTCTGGGTGTCGCGTTACATTATACCCTAATGCCACGTCTCATGGGTACACTTTGCCTGGCCATGGCAATTGAGACCAGTTCCAGCAGCCTCCTTCTGTCTGCTTGTTTTAGGGAGTTAGCAGTCAATGATTGGTTAGGTTTGTACCTAACTTCCCGAGTGCTCCAAGACAGCATAGAGTCTTAGAGTGATTTTTTTTTTTAGGTCTTCGGATGTTCTTCTTAAAGTGTTGAGATTCACCATAGATTTGCCTCTCAGTTGACGGCATGCGTAGTCTCTGATATTTATGCTATGAACTTTTATTAGTGTCTCTAGTTATACAGGAGATGTACTTTTCGTATTGATTGTTTCTGAACTTGGGACTAAGAACAGTCAGTCATATCTTCTGTACAAGTTTTGTGCACTCTGACACAGACGACAGGACTGTGACTGAGCACTGCACTGGTGAAAACGTATCTACACTTTGGAGTGCTGATGTGTCACTGCTGAGCAAAGAATTCAGTAGCACTTGTCATCCCATAAACTCTTCAGAGACTGTCAAATACAGCCACTAAAGCAAGTAATAATACCTTCTATTTTTGTGTGCAATTAAGAGATCATTTATAGAAGGCTTTTAAGTGTCATTGGGGATTTTCCAGTGACTGAAACAAAATGCTTCATTTCTAGGAAGTAATTGCTAAATAGAAAGCACACTTCCCGGAAGGGCCATTTTCCTCAAATTAATGCGCAGTTATCAGGTGTAAATTTCATTGGGCTTAATGACCGAGTCATTATGTAGTTGAAACATTGCAATTATGCTGTTACTCAGTTCATTTATTATAAGCCTTCTGGGCTCCTGTTAGCAAGATGGCATTGCTCTGAATATACAAAGATAGTGGACATGATACCAAGCACAGGTTTTCAGATCTTCCGTTTCTGATTTTCTTTTGGAAATGATGGTGGGTTTGTCTGTACCTCTCCATTTTGCCTGTCAGCTGTTCTCTATCTTTCCCGTCACAGTCACACATCAGCAAATTCAGAATGTTAATCAACTACTGAAATTAGATATCTTCACTCTCTTTTACGGAGCCACATGCAACAAATCTAGTCTACTGTGAAAGAGGTTAGGATAAAGAGCTGGAGTTGTAGCTCGGTTGGTAGCATGCTCCAAGCCCTGGGTTCAATCCCTAGTACCCCATAAACCAGGTGTAGTGGTTCAGGCTTGTAATCCTAGTACTGATTACACTGGGAGGTGGAGGTAAGTTCAGAAGTTCAAGGTCATCCTTGGCTGAGTTTAACTTCAGTTTGGGCTGAAAATGGAGGGTGTGTCTAATTTACCCCAATGCAAATGTGTGGCTAAAGTATTCTGCTGTTTTAGTCATGACTGGATCTGTCTACTGACTTTGACACTCACTGGTGTGGGTGGCATGGAAATCCCCTCATTTCATGGTTACTGTTAATTTTTAAACTTACTCTTCTATTAATGCTGTTGTTCATTTTTCTCCCTTTTCATTTATCCTTGCAATCTGTCACTTGAAACAAACAAACAAAATGGGAGAAACTTAGGATTTAGTTTATACACACCCATTACATTCAGCCCTAATTAGGATCACATAGGTGGTATTTCTCTTTTATAACTCTTTTGTCCTTTTGTACTGTCAGTACATATCCTTGGGTTCATAAGGGCAAGAAATGATAGTGATCTGTAACTGTTCATAACTCTCAAAGCTCTCACCTTCTTCAGCTGTAGTAGGAAGCCAGGCATCTCCTGTATTGATAGAACAAGATCTGCAGACAAAGTCTCCTGTTTCTCTGTCCAGGGCTTTTTCTATGATGTTCTCCCTTACCCTTTGAGTGTTTGAATCAGTGAGTACACTAAAGTATCTCAGCTTTCTTTTCCTCCCTATAAAGAACAGCATTACTGCTGTTCTATTTCTTAGCATCAATGTCAGAATGATTACAATCTAAGAGAGTATGTTAGAATTGTTCAAATTTAGGCCTTTTAGGCACCTTAATAATCTGCCAATAGTAAGAGGATTGAAGGACTTATAAGCATACTTTGTTTTATGGTGTCTCAGTTTATTGAATTTTGCAGAGACTGTTTAATTTTTTTTACAGACTGAAAGTTTGTTCAGAAGTCTGTTAGTTCTGCTTTTCCAGCCTCAGGAGATGATCATTAGCAGTTTCGATCAATGACACTGTTGGTTTTGTTTTTTTGTCTCTGAGGTCCTGGGAGTCCAACACCGGGCCTGTGAGTGATAAGTATTTTTCATTCATCTGTGTGCCAACTCCTCAATGTATTTTAAAATTAAAGCCTGCTCATTGTTATTTTAGATATGATACTGTTACACACAGTATATAGTATAAATGTAACTTTTAGATGCACTGGAAAACCCCAAAAATTGTGTGCCTTGCTTTGCTGTGATGGTTTGAAACTGAGCCAGCAATATTCCTGTGCAGTACCTATATATACACACGTCCATACTCAGTGTGTACCAATGACCTGCTGGAGATCCAGCAGTCCTAAGTGGCTGGATTGGGACTTAGGCCAGGTACTCTTTTGAGAATCACTTGTTTTCTCTGAGAGAAAACCAAACTTAAAGAACTGCTTATTAAATTAAAATTTAGTTGGCCCTCTTCCTGGGAAAATGTGTATATGCAGGATATTTTGCATATGATTTTGGAGAGTTTAGAGAAGTTATACAGCCTGCCCCTTTATTTTACAGATGAACATATATGATGAATCTAATAGAACACAGAAATTATTTGTTCAAAGTCACTGCTGAACTTGATTCCTAGTGGTTGGTTCTAATAATTTTTTTTGGTAACATTATTACTATATAGAGAGAGTTTGTAATATGTAACTGGTAAAACACAGACTTTTAATATTGGGCAAATTTGGGGGAATTTTTATTAAAAATAGATTATGAAAATCAAACAGTTTGCCTTTTTTTAATTAAAAGTTCATACAATAAACCAGGTGGTGGTGGGGCACGCCTTTAATCCCAGCACTCGGGAGGCAGAACCAGGCGGATCTCTGTGAGTTCGAGGCCAGCCTGGTCTACAGAGTGCATTACAGGATAGGCAGCAAAGTTACACAGAGAAACTCTGTCTCAAAAAACCAAAAAGAAGAAAAGTTCATACAATAATACAATGTATTCTGATCACCTTTTCCCCTCCCCAGATCCTCCTTACCCATCCAATTCTATGCCTTCTCTCTCTTTAGAAAACAGATAAGTAAAAAAACAAACCAGATTTAAAAAAAAAAAAAAACACAAAAAACAAAACAGAAAAACGGCACAAAAACATACCAAAAAACCCCCATAAAAACACAGAATTGGAAACCATAATATACAAGCAAAAGTTTGAAGTCTCTTCCTTGGTCTCTGGGACTTTTAATATGTAATATGTGGGTGTTGGCTTGCAGGTGCAATTCTCTGTTCAAAAGACAAAAGAGATACTACCTTTTTAACATATCAAAAACGTAGCTGTCAGCATGAAGCAATCTCTAACAAGATTCTTCTGTATAATAGGAAGGTAAAATGTGATATCTAGCTCTATGTAGCAGTTCAGTGGTAATGCATTGAATTCTGCATAATTATAACTTAAAGCTTTTCTTTTCTGATTTCTACCGTAGATGCTATTCCAAGTTCAGATCAAATTCGAATAGCACCATCATTAAAAAGCCAAAGAGGTTCAGTGTGGACAAAAGCAAAAGCAGCCTTCGAGAACTGGGAGGTGGAAGTGACGTTTCGAGTGACCGGAAGAGGTCGAATTGGAGCTGATGGCCTAGTACGATCATTTCTGTTGCTTGGATGAGTATAGTTGCATAAGCCACTGGCTCCTAACTCTTCCCTCTGTGTGTTCCAGGCAATTTGGTATACAGAAAATCCAGGCTTAGATGGACCTGTGTTTGGATCAGCTGATATGTGGAATGGTGTTGGAGTATTTTTTGATTCTTTTGACAATGATGGAAAGGTATATTTATTGTTAAAACTGTTAGCCATTTTGCATTTTAATGGTTTTTGTTGTTGTTTTTAAGCAGAGTTAGGCTGTGAGAAGGTAGCTTACTTGACACCTTAAATTTACTAATAAAGATCTTGGTTGATGTCTGAGCATGGTCATTAGTCTTGGTGACAGAGAATCTTGCAACCGAAGCTTTGCAGACATGATTTTTTTGCATACTAATTTGCAGTCATGATGGAGGCCTAGCTCTGAAAACCTGTTGGTGATTCACACCCTGTGTGTGCTTAGTAACGATGAAAACATCAGCATGAGTCTAGATGTGGGCAGTGCAGCCAATAGTGTTGAGGAAGCCATGGCAGTGTCCGAGTGCTAGGCATGACTGGACCTCACACTCAGCTTCTTGTTAATTACTTTTTGGTCAGGCCATTTTTCTATTGATGTCTTAAAAACAAAGTGTACTTACATGCCGAAACATTAACTTGTAGCTTGGAAGCTTTAAGACTGATGGTCTTCCCTTGGCTAGTTGTTATTGATTTTCAGAGGTTACTGCTAGCAATTTAAAGACATTTTAATGATGCATTGAAAACTTAGGCCATACTATTTTAAAAATTTAAGCTCCTTAGAATCTCAGCAGTATGAGATTTCATAGCAAATGAAGAATGATGACTTTTTTTATGAAAGATACTAAATAAATATATTCTCTTTACTTTTAGAAAAATAATCCTGCTATAGTAGTCATAGGCAACAATGGACAGATTAATTATGACCATCAAAAGTAAGTGTGTTTTGCATTATTTCTTATTTCAATTTTTCTTTGGAAACTTCATGAAATAAATCTCAACATTTCCCAAATGAAATAAGATTTTTTTTTCTTGAGCTGTTACATTGTAACTCAGTGAAAAAGTCTACTTTCTTTTGTGTTTTGAAGTTCTTTCTGTGAACCACACTTTCCATGTTTACTGAAAGAGAGCTTTCAAAAATAAATTTAGGCCGGGTGGTGATGGTGCACATGGGAGGCAGAGGCAGGTGGATCTCTGTGAGTTCGAGGCCTGGTCTACAGAGTGAGTTCCAGGATAGGCACCAAAACTACGCAGAGAAACCCTGTCTCGAAAAACAAAAAAAAATACAGTAAAATAAATTTAGCTTTCACCAGACTAATGAGTGCCGCGTCTGTGCGGCTGTTTTCAACATTAATGTCACTTTAAGACTGTTGGCGTTACAGAGGCTCCAGGGGTGTAGGAAGATTGCTTATCCACGCCTGGCTCTGCTCTTCCCCTCCTTGGTGACTGCGGTGCTGGGGGTTTTTTACAGTCCCTGGCGGACTGTAAAACAGAAGTGTCTAGGCCGCTTCCTTGAGATTCGGCTTCAGCTGGCTGAGATGGAGTTGACAGACTTGCATCTTTACAAACTCCACAAGGGCCTGGGGATGGAATTCAGGAGGAGAGCACTTGCCTGGCAAGTGTAAGACTCTAGGTCCAAGTCTCAATAGCACAAAACATAAAGAAAACAGTGAAGTCCCCTGAATGATTTGGATGCTGTCTTCGTCTCCTAATAGCATATCCTCCCTCCCTTCAGCACCCAGTGGCACTGGGCTTCCCTTTCAGTGTCCCCAGAGTTCTGACAGGAAAGGCCTCTCTGTCTTCTGACTTGACACGGGCCGTCATAAGCTTCACTGGAACTTGATATTTTTGAATCTTCCTGAATCTTAAATACTAAAAAGCCTTTTTTTTTCTTCTCTCTCACACTCCAGTGATGGTGCCACTCAAGCCTTAGCAAGTTGTCAGAGGGACTTTCGTAATAAACCCTACCCTGTCCGGGCAAAGATTACCTATTACCAGAAAACATTGACAGTAAGTAACAGTAACCAGATAATCAATACTCTAGCGTGACTTGTCTTTGGAGTTCTTGACGGAAGTTAAAGTACTTAAACATGGGTCTATGGGTATCCACACATCTGTATGCATTGCCCTGGCAACAGAAGTAAGTGTGTCATCTGGTGTGTGTGTGTGTGATTTCCTGCAGTGCAGCTTTTCCAGTACGCTTCTGTTTGGTTAGAGGGGGGTTAAGCCCCAGCTCGAAGATACTGTAAGCACATATCCAAGTCTTCATGGTAGAAACATGAGTAAGACAAAGGCCGTTCTCCCTGAAGAGCTCGTAGACGTAGAGGAAACACAGAGCATCCCTGTGCTGTGTGATAAGGGCTATGACCCAGTGGTAAGGAATTGTGAGCTTGGAACCTGGACCCTGAGAAATGACCCTGGGGAAGGTCTGCAAGGGGTTTAATTGAGCTGCACTCCAGAGCAGGAATAGGGAATGTGTGTATGTTCCAGCCACAGAAAGCAGACAGGGCCTTGAAGAACTGAACATTTGAGAGAGCAAGTCGTTTGCTGTAGTGTGAAGACAGAGAACATCTCAGAAGTGAGGTGGAAAGGCTGGCAGTAGCCATCCTGTGAGGAAGAAGTTTTAAGAGAGTTGATGTTCTCAGCAGGAAGTAAAATGGTGGTATTTGCAATTTTACCAAGTGACTTAGGCCCCAGAGTAAATGGTGGGAACTAAAGGTAAGATGATAGAGGCTCTTTGACCCTTAAAGCACCGCGCCTGGTGCTTTGTATTTTAAATGCAGCTTTTCAAACTGCTCTGTGAGCTACATCTCTCCATTTGTAACATGGAGACATGGAATGTGGGAGATTTCAAGTCACTTGAACAGCACTGTGGTTTGAACCAGCTCCATCCTGTCCGCAGGGCTCCGCTTGCTGCTGCCTGACCTGAGGTGATAGATGCCGAAAGGAAGGTAGAGGAGAGATGAGCAGCACTGTCACATTTGCTAACCTAGGATAGTGCAGAGCATTTGCACTCCTGTTGTGTGATTATTCAGAAAGATCACGGCTCCCTAAGGCTTTGCAAGAGAGGAACTTACTTCACTGTAGAAAGATTGTTGAACTATCAACATTTTCTCTTTTTGAGCCTTTGACAAATAATGGGTAAAAAATTTAAGTGAATGATCTTACTGGGTAATGATGGTTAGTGAATGAATTTATTTCAAATTACCTTTGTAGGACTGAGGAGATGGCTCAGTGGATAAAGAACTCACCATGCAAGCCTGAGAGCCAGAGCTCAGATCCCAATCTATGTAAAAGCTAAGAAAATGTGGCCACCTGGAATCCCAGCACTCAAGAGGCAGGGCAAGATGGCTAGCTGGTCTAGAGAATCACTGAGCTCTGGGATCAATTTAGGGATCCTGCCTCAATAAATAAAGGGAAAGTGATTGAGAGATACCCAGAGTCAATTTCAGATCTCCATATGATCACACACATGCAAGCATGCATACACAAACACACACAACATCCATATACAAAAAGAATTATAACAATAGAAGGAAGCAAGAGTGAATATTATTCATCACAAAATGCTAAAATTTATTTTTAAATGTGTTATAAGAATCTACAGCTATGGTGTGTCTTCCTAGGTTATGATCAATAATGGCTTTACACCAGATAAAAATGATTATGAATTTTGTGCCAAAGTGGAAAATATGATTATCCCCACCCAAGGGCATTTTGGGATATCTGCTGCAACAGGAGGTCTTGCAGGTAAATCTTACCTTCTTTTCATATTGAAAACTTGTGAGTGATTCTTAGTGGTAATAATAGTATGTTTAGGGTATATGTGGGGAACTTTTATGACCAATATACTCAAGCAGGGAGAAGTGAGGAATATGTAGATAGAAATATAGAGGAGAGAGACAGAAACATAGAATAGCTCAGGAGGGCCTGGGTCAAAACCCACCAGCCCCTTCTGTCCCTACTAAAGGGCTTTTAAAGGAATGCCAAGGGGTGGAGCAAAGGACTGCCCCCTAGCACAGCCAAGTACAGACCATCCCAAACACCTGGTGATCATGCACGTGGTCAGGCCATCCCCTAATGCAGCCCTGCTCTGTAAAGCAAGCTCAGATCTCACTAGAAAACCATTGTGGGCTCTCACAGGTATATAGACTCGATTCCATTCCACTCAAATCTCTTTGGAGCCTTCCCATGGCTGTTCTACCCGTCTCTGGCTGTGTTGGAGCTGCATGGATGTAAATTACACCATTCATTTAGGCACATTTTGTAGTGAAGGGGACATATTTAAAGTTGAGGATATAAAAAGTTAATTCCTAAGTGTTTTAGGACTCTTAAAAGTTACTGTATCATATACAAGTGACTTTGGAACCCCAAGGAAATATTATTTGGGGGCAAACTTTAAATGAAAATAATTGCTATTATTTTCCATGTATGTTGATAAATGAAGTTCCTCCACATCAATACTGCTTTGTATTCATATGACACATTACCATTTTAAATGCTTCTAAAGCTATAGATTGTTCTATACAACCCAAGCAAAGAGAGGGGAGGTCTGTATCCCCATTTTTTTCAGGTGTTGCCAAATCCAGATGAAGGCAGTTTCTCAAGGTCTCAGTCTCCCCCAGAAAGTCCTGGTCTGGATTTGTGATTCCTGAGTGTTGAGCACATGCCCTGTCCTCCAGTTAGCCAGTCTTCAGTGCATCATGCTTTGTTTACCTGGCTACCTCTTCAGATCCCCCAGAGAGGCAGAAGGAGAAGGATGCTGCCCACTTGAAATAAATCACTCTGTACCATGGACGCAGCCAGCCAGGACTGGTTCACTGCTGTGAGGTCCCATCTCCTTAGTTCCTGCCATTAGCTCAAACATCTTGATATTAATCTGACCTTACATGGTTTAGATCAGATAGAAGTATCATTATCATTCAGTTGAGAAAAGCCAGGACTGGCGTGAACCAGAGGAAAGGCACTGGAAAGAGGTGGATAGGGTTTTGTGCACTTGGAACAGGACTTCCTCCGTGCAGGAGACTGGGAAAGCGTAGGAGGACCCTTCACCTGTCAGACACCTACCATTCACTCTCTTCACTCCAGTCAACAGTGCTGCCCGGGCTGACTGGGGTCAAGGGTCTAGAGTAGTTCTGAAGTCAGTCTTTGATGAGTAAGAAATACCTGCCAGGTAAATTCACAACCACGAAACAACTGCTTACAGCATTTCTTGAACCTTTTTTAAATTTGTAGATGACCACGATGTTCTTTCTTTCCTGACTTTCCAGTTAACTGAGCCTGGAAAAGAGCCAGTGAGTATACCTTTATCCAATAGTGAATTTCCAGTTTTCAGTGGTGTTGCCCGAGCTGTGGTTGTGAGAAGACTGACGTCAGTCTGGGTCTTGTTTCGGTCACTGCCGTCTGGTCTTATATAAGTTCCTGAACCTCTGGAGCTTGCTGTTGATGATGTTCAGTGACCACCTCTTGATTTTGTCAGGGTTAAGTGAGACACGTGTGCTTATAGTGAATGCTCACTAACTGGTAGTGGTGACTGTGATTGGGGTGTTCTTACTAAAACCAGAACAGATTAGCTGTAGTTTGAGTAAGGGCCAAGCTTCCAGCCAGTGATGGAGGGGTGAGCTTGAGAGAAAGGACAGGCGCCAACATGTCTCACCAGTCCCTTCCTTACACCCTCTTCTTCCTCTGAAAAAGCCGACACCAGAAAAAGACATTTCAGAAAAAGAAAAGGAGAAGTATCAAGAGGAGTTTGAGCACTTCCAACAAGAACTGGACAAGAAGAAGGAGGAATTCCAGAAAGACCACCCTGACCTCCAGGGGCAGCCGGGTAAGTTGTAGCTGGGGCGGTTCTGCGAGGACGCCTGGGTCTCCTGTCCGCCTCACCCCCGCTGTCTCAGCACAGTCGGGAGCTGCTTTGGGGGGGGGGGAGCCGTCCTGAGTCCTTCGGGGTTGGAGAGGGGCTCGCGGGGTGTGAACGAAGCCCCCCGCAGCAGTGACCACGAGCCTCTGTGTTGGCGCTCGGTGAGGGTGGCGTTGACACGGCCACTACTGTGTTCTCTCAACTAAACACGTGAAGAACTACAGCGCTGCCCTCCTGGGTAGGTGCTGAGTAAACCACCCAGATCTCCCTCTCCTTCCAGCGTTACACAGTGGCCTTTCTTGAGAAGTTTGGACAGCGTTGAGCACTATACAGTGTGTTGGAATTATATCACCCCGTTTCCCTGTGTTACCTTCCTTCCCCTCTGAACCCCTTCTTTCCAGTGAGTCTTAATAGTGGCCATAGCATTGAAGGAAAGGACGCCCTCTGCCCCAGCGCCTTCTCTTAGTGCCAAGGATCCTGGGCTTCAGTGGTGGGAATCTTTTAAATGCTAGTTTAGGCCAGAGAAACTAAGACCTTATATGTTGTTACAACCTCAACAGTGGGACAGCGTGAAGGCCAGCAGTCGACTGCTTAGTGTCTGCTGTTCTGTGTCTGTCTGTTCCCATCAGCTTGACTGATGGAGGCTTGCTTGGTAAGGCCTGTGTCTTAGCATTTGAACACTTTGTAACGTGCAGTTCTCAGTGGATGACAGACGTCGTGTCATTTGTCACCACACCCTGAAGTTGCTTGTAGAAGGTGTGTAGATTACAGTTGGCTGTCGACAAGTATGGGTACCCACCTAAGCATCACTGCATGGAATATTTTATTTTCACCCCAGAAAGTTCTCTGATTCCGTAAACCACTCCCCACATAGCCTGTCACTGTTGTGATTTCTGTTACTCCAGATTAGTTCTCCTGAGTAAAATTATACAATATATACAAAACAGAAATTTATTCTAAGTGAGAAAGTTCAGATAGTAGTTTGTAATAGTAATTTAGGAGTTACCGAAATAGTAATTTAGTCATGACTGAACTGTTTGGAAGTTTATACCTCTGGTTGGTAGTGTTCTGGTATATGTCAGCACTTGGCCTGTTACAATATTTCAAAGCTCCAGATGTGTAGAGGGTTGTGATGACTGTAATTTGTGATGACTTTTCAGCGGATGACATATTCGAGACCATAGGAGATCGCGAGCTAAGACAGGTCTTTGAAGGACAGAATCGTATTCATCTGGAAATCAAGCAACTTAACCGGCAGCTGGACATGATCCTTGATGAACAGAGGAGATACGTCTCTTCCCTGACAGAGGAGATCTCCAGGAGAGGAGTGGGGGCCGCGGGGCAGCCTGGTGGGCAGGTGAGCTTCCCAAGCCAGTGCTCCAGCCAGAGGAGAGTCAGAACATGACCAGTGCATGCTAAGCTGCTTCGTCTTGTCTCCCTCCAGGTCTCTCAGCAGGAACTGGATACAGTTGTGAAGACCCAGCATGAGATTTTGAGACAAGTGAACGAGATGAAGTAAGTAGACAGCAGTCATGTTTAAATGTCCCTGTCCTAAAGGAGCTCGTGTGCCTGCCCTCCCTGTCCTAGAGGAGCTCGTGTGCCTGCCCTCCCTGTCCTAAGGAAGCTCGTGTGCCTGCCCTCCCGTGTCCCTTCAGGAGGGCAAGCTGCGCATCCTGGGGCCGGGTTAGAAATAAAAGAGTACATATGCAAGGTGCAAACATCTAGATTTTAAAAATCATGAAAAGTTGGAAAAAGGGGGGAGAAGGCTTCAGTATTAGTGTCTTTAAAAACAGAGAGATTTGCTGTAGCGACTTGAAACCAGGAGTGTGCCTGTCATTGGGAATTATGGGAGTGTGGAGTGAGCTGTCGAAACTTCGTGAGACATACTGGGGTAGAAGGACATTTACTGTGGGAACAGGCACACTTGCTCCAGAACTTCCTTCCGATTCCATCTTCTGCCCTACATCAGACTGCATAGACGCTTCACTGATACGCCTCTAATGAAGACTTACACAGATAGCCAACCTTCTCGGGGTCTGAGAGAGACCACAGCCAGTGTGTGTTCTCATAAGCTAATGCTTCAGTGTTCCCACAGTATAACCCTCGACAGGAGAGTGTCAAAGTGAGCCGAACAACCCTACAGGATGAGGTTAAACAGGAGATAAGGACTGAAAGGACTCCACTGACGAGAGGAAATCTGTTTTTGCTCCTTAGCATTTAAGAAACATTTTTGTTCTTGGCTCACAATTCCCAAGTCAGTACTTGCCCTGTTCAAATAGTTTAGCTAAAGGAATAGCTTTCCTTTAGGAGTCTACTGTATAACATAGTATTTTTTTATTTTGATATAGTTTTTTGAAGACTTATGTACTTAAGTATATAGGTGGTTTTACCTATATGTATGTCCATACCATGTGCATACATACAGTCCCTTCAGAGGCCAGAAGACGGTGTTGGATCCCATGCAACTTCAGTTAGAGATGGTTGTGAGCCATCATGTGGGTGCTAGGATTGAAACTCAGGCCCTCTGGAAGAGCAGCTGGTGCTCTTAACCAGAGCCATCTCTCCAGCCCCTTGTTTTCATGAGAGTCTGTTCTGTGTCTTCCGTTAGCAGCGTGCTCATCATTTCTCCTGTCATGCTGTCACTCACATCCCAGGGTTCAGTGGCAGCTCTGCGGCCTTACGTCTGAGTAGTGCAGTCACGTCTTGCATGGAGAATGTGTCCCAAAGTCAGTGTGGAAGAATGGTGCACAGGGTCAGGAGACTGTCACACTTTCCTTCCTACTTGACTGGACAGCCTGGCCTCCTGTTGCCGTTCTGGGCGTGTACCTGAGGGCCATCTGATAGGAACACAGGGAGATAGAGGCGCAGTACATTTGTGTCAGGAGTCCCTAAGACCAGCAGATTCCCTGACTTGCCAGAAGTACTCAGAGAAAGCTGCTGTCAATCTGGTCATGGTTTGTTACAACAGAAAGAAAGTCAGCCAGGCAACAGTGGCGCACACCTTTAATCCCAGCACTCGGGAGGCAGAGCCAGGAGGATCTCTGTGAGTTCGAGGCCAGTCTGGGCTACAGAGCGAGTTCCAGGACAGACTTCACAGCTACACACTACACAGAGAAACCCTGTCTTGAATCGCACCCCGCCCCCCAAAAAGAAACAGTCATCAAAGAACGGTGGCGCGTGAGTAGAGTCCAGAAATACCCGGAAGCTCCCTCTGCCCCTCCCAGCAGCTTCCCAGTGCACACAGGGCTTGAATTACAAGTTTTTACTTCACCATGATTTGAAGGTGATAAGCATGCATTAAAAACGGTACTACAGATCTTGAACTTGATCTCTTCCTGCACTGTGGTATGGTTATTGGTCTGATATGGCAATAGCAGGCAGTGGTGTCTAATCTCAAATCTCAGTCAGACACTTAGTTGTGAGGGTCAGCAAGCAAAACTCTGCTGTGCTGTGTGCTGAGCCAAGGTGTTCTATGTGCTAGGTGTATTAACTGTGCTTCTCATTTAGTTTATGATAGCTCTATCCAGACATGATGCCCCGTAAGTCAGGGGTAGTTCCCTAAATAGTGTGGGAAGCTCACCCAAGCCTTGGTGTCTAGAATTTCTACTAGAGGTCATTTACATGGGTAGGGAGCCCTGTGCCGACCTTCAGTACATTTCCTGTCCCTCTGGAGATCAGTCCTTTAAGGTTCCAGGTGTTTGTGTAGACCTACCTCATGTTACAGAATCAAGCAGGACTCACAGATCCTCTCCTGGGAGCTGAGATGACTCATCGAAATCCAAATTTCCTTCCTAGGGTTCTTCCTCCCCTTTTCATTTCCTCTCCCTCCCCCTCCCCTCATGTCCCTCTTTTCAGGCAGGGTCTCCCTGTGTAGCTCTGAGTCGTCTGGCCTCAATCCCCAAGTACGGAGATGGTGGGCATGTGCTACTGTGTCTGCCTGCCTGCCCGCCAGTTTGGTATTTGTTTTTCTAGTGATCTGACGTGTTGAACTTAAAAAGGGGTAACCATTTGAAATTTATAGCTGGAAACCCAAACCCAAACCCTGTGATTTCAAAGGGATTTTGTGTTCCAGGAACTCCATGAGTGAAACGGTCCGGTTGGTCAGTGGCATACAGCACCCTGGCTCAGCAGGCGTCTATGAGACCACTCAGCACTTCATGGACATCAAGGAGCACCTGCATGTCGTGAAGAGAGACATCGACAACCTGGTGCAGCGCAGCGGGGTAACGGGCTTCTCTGGGCTTCTCTGGGCTTCTCCGGGCTTCTCTGGGTCGGGGTTTTAAACAGTGCTCGCATTCTTTCCTAGCTGCCCCATGGGTTCCAAAAACCTTGGATTTGGGTTTCCTGGGGAGAAAGTAGAAGCCTGTGTCTGCTCTTGTCATTACTTATTGGGTGCCAGGCAATGAAAATATTTGTATTCCCGTTTTAATATCCTCTATAATCCATGTTTTTTATCTTGTTTGAGAATTTTTACATGGATACAAGGTGGGTCTTTTTCTTTTTAAATTGAAGCTAGTTTTGTTTTTGTTTTTTAAGTACGATATAGTCTGATTATAGATTCCCCTCCTCAACTCCTCCAAGACGCTTTATTTGGTAACAAGAAATGTCCAGCTGGAGCTCTCTCTCCCCGGTCATTTGGCGAGCACAAGTAGATTCCACCCAACCCCTCGGTGGCCCTTAGATTTAGCTGTCCCTCCTCCTCCTCCTCCCTCAACCCCGGACATTGACAGGCTTCTAGTTCGTTTGCAGTGGCTGGACACTATGAAGAGAGCAGCAGTGAACACGGTTGAGAAAGTGTCTCTGCCATAGGATGTAGAGCCCTTGGGTAGATGCCCAAGAGTGGTGTACCTGGATCTTGAAGTAGATCTAGTCCCAGCTTCCTGAGGAACCACCACACTAATTTCCATAGTGGTTGTACAAGTTTGCACTTCCACAGGCAATGGATAAGTGTTCCTCTTGTTCCACAGCCTTGCCAGCATAAGCTGCCATTTGTTTTATTGATCTCAGCCATTCTGATTGGTATAAGGTGAAATCTCAAAGTATTTCCATGATAAAAAAGGATGTTTGATGTTTCTGGAAGTGTTTCTCAGCCATTTGACTTCCCTCTTTTGAGAACTCACTGTTTAGATCTGTACTCCGTTTTTTAATTAGGTTATTTCTTTTTGTGATGTCTTGTTGTTGTTGTTGTTGTTTTAGTTCTTTGTGTATTTTAGATGTTAGCCCTCTACTGGATGTGTAGTTGGTAAAAAAATCTTTTCCCATTCTGTAGGCTGTCGCTTTATTTGAATGATGGTGTCCTTTGCCATACAGAAGCTTTTTAGTTTCATACGGTGTCTTAGTTAGGGTTTATATTGCTTTTCAGTTTTTTAAAGTGTCTTAGTTAGGGTTTATATTGCTGTGAAGAGACACCATGACCATGGCAAGTCTTATAAAGGAAAGCATTTAATTGGAACTGGCTTACAGTTCAGAGGTTTATTTAGTCCGTTATTGTCATGGCAGGAAGCATGGTTCTCGAGAGGTAGCTAAGAGTTCTACACCTTGATCTGCAGGCAGTAGGAAGAGACAGTGAGCCACTAGGCCTGGCTTGAGCTTCTGAGACCTCAGAGCCCACCCCCAATGACACACTTCTCCCCACAAGGCACTACCTACTCCAACAAGGCCATACATCCTAATAGTGCTACACCCTATAAGCCTATGTGGGCCATTTTTATTCAAACCACCACAATGAGGTCCAGTTATTATTATTGTTATTGTTAGTTCCTGTGCTGTTGGTGTTTTGTTGAGAAGTCTTTTACTGTGCCAATAAGTTCAAAATTATTCCTCAATTTCTCTTCTATCAGATGTGTTGTATATGGTCTTACGTTGAGGTCTTTGATCCATTTGGAGTTAAATTTTGTGCAAGGTGATAAATATGTATATACTTGAATTTGTCTACATGTGGACACCCAGTTTGACCAGCGCCATTTGTTGAAAATGCTGTCCTTTTTTTTTTTGTCCCCAGTGTGTATTTCTGGCTTCTTTTAAAAAAAAAAGTCAGGTATCTGTAGGTTTGTAGATTTATGTCTGGGCCGTCAATTCTATTCTCTTGATCAATGTGTCTGTTTTTATGCAAATATCATGCAGTTTTTATTACTATTTTATTACGACGGCCTACAGAATGGGAAAAGATTCTGTTGCACAATTTGAGGTTAGGAATGGTAAAACTCCAACAGTTCTCTTATCATTCAGAAATGTAACTACCCTGGGTTTTTTGTGTTTCCATATGAAGCTGAAAATTGACCTTTCCAGATCTGTGCAGAATTACATTGAATCTGTAGATTGCTTTTGGTAGGATGGGCATTTTTACTTTATTAATCCTACTGTTCCATGAGCCTGGGGAATCCTTCCATTGTCTGATATTTTCTTCGGTTTGTTTCTTCGGTGTCTTAAATTTTGTATGATGCAAGTCTTTTATTTGCTTGGTTACACTAAGGGTTTTTGTTTTTGTTTTTGTTTTTGGCTATTGTGATAAGTATTGTTTCCCTGATGTCTTTCTCAGTCTGTCATTTGTAATAATCAGAAGGTTATTGATTTTCGTGTGTGTTAATTTTATATCCTGTTACTTTGCTGAGAGTGTATATCAGCTGTAGAAGCTTCCTGGTGGAGTTTTTAGGGTCATTGTGTATATTTCTGGCTTAGTTAGGGTTTTATTGCTGTGAAGAGACACCATGACTACAGCAAGTCTCATAAAGGAAAACATTTCACTGGGGCTGGCTTACACTTCAGAGATTTAGTCCATTATCCTCATGGTGGGAAGCATGGTGGTGTGCAGGCAGACATGGTCCTAAAGAGGTAGTTGAGATTGCTACACCTACATCTACAGGAAACAGGAAGAGAATGTGACAAGGGGCCTGGCTTGAGCTTCTAAACCCTCAAAGCCTGCCCCCAGTGACACACTTCCTCCAACAAGGCCACACCTCCCAATAGTACCATTCCTATAGGCCTGTGGGGGCTATTTTCATTCACACCACAACTATGGTATCATCTACAAATAAAGATACTTTGACTTCTTTCATTCTAATTTTATATCCCCTTGATATCTTATTATTTATATCCCCTTCAGCTCTCTTATTGCTCTAGCTCAGACTTCAAGTACTATGTTGAATAGATGTGGAGAGAGTGAACAACCTTCTTTTTTCCTGATTTTAGTGGAAATGCTTTGAGTTTCTCTACATTTAAGTTGATGTTGACTGTAGGCTTGCTGGAAACTGCCTTTATTATGTTGAGGTATGTCTCTTGTATCTTAGACATGTCGGGACTTTGATCACAAAGGGTGTTGCATTTTGTCAAAGTCCTTTTCTGCATCTTATGAGATACTATATTGTTTTTGTTAATCATGTCATTTCATTCCCTGATTATGTTTTCACAGATTTCATTAATGGACTTATTCATATCCTCTTTAAGGACTGCAAACAAATTCCTAATAGCTGTTTTGAAGTCCTTGTCTTATGCTTCAGCTATATTGCATTTCTTAGGACCTACTCTAGTAGGGTTGCCAGCTTAGTGGAGACATGCTTTCCTGTCTGTTAATGTGTTTTTACTCTGGTGTCTAGGCATCTGGGTTTGGGATGATTATGATTCTAGGTGTTGTCTTTGTTGAGTGAGTTTTCTGGTCCTTGGTTTCTGTTGCTCTCTCTGGATCATAGGAGTGTGCAGTGGCAGTACATTGTCTGCTAAGGAGTGCTTCTGGGTCCCTGGCAGGTGTAGCCACTGGGTGTCCTGGGTAGACTTGTTTCTAGGTGTTGGGAGTTGACATGCAGGAATGGGGATGGGCTAGAAGAGCTGGGGATTGAGAGGTGGGCAGGAGGGAGGAAAGCCAGGTTTGCTAAGAGGATCTCTGGGGTCTGCAGCGAATGGAGGAAGAGAGGGAAGACTAGCCCCCTGCAGGTGCTCTGCTACAGTGCTGGGAATGAGACTGGGGGATTTGAATTGGAGGACTAGAAGGAGAGTACAAATGACCTTCCTGATTCCCTGGTGGGCATGGTCAGTGGGTTTCCAGGGAGAGAGAAGCTGAGTTGTTAGCCAGTGAGACAAAGGATGGGATGAGGAGGGAAGGCTGTAGGATATATAAGGTGTTTGACCAGACCCATTCCCTACTCCCCCTCCCCCATGAGGGCCACCCACCCACCCACCGGTGCCTGGCAGTGCATCAGGGGCCACATCCCTGAGGAGAACTGACTCTTCCTCCCGGAACAGCCACCAGTAGCCACTAGGAGTTAAGCTGGGGTGGGACTTCATTAGCCCCGCCACCATTAGTACTGGGATTTTAGCTGCCTTGATCTTGACTATTCTTGAAGTCTGTGTTTTTAAAAAGCATATTTCTTTGGCATATTTTCTCCCAAGGTTATGGCCTGAACTTTTCTTGCTGTTTTGTTATTATGTCACATCAGTTAGGTTTTCTGAAACGAGGTAGAGTTAAATAAGATTGTGTTGAGTGCTTTCCTCGCCTGGCTAGTAGCCTTGTACAGCACACATTTGTAATGTAGTTGGTCCTAATCAAGCTTAGAAGAAGCAGGAGACCCAACCCCTTGAAATGCGTTATATTTATGTCAGCAATAATGACATTAACATGTCTTTCTCCAGGTCATCAGAGGGAAAACACTTGAGCCTTCAATTTCCAATCTTGTTTCCATTATATTTTGACACTGCCTTTCTTAATCATTTCTCTGTTCATGCCTTGAATCATTTTTGCAAATCTTGCTTAATAGTTTTCTTATTGGCCCTGGCTTTTCATCCAGATCATTGTATTTTAGTTTTATTTGAAGGTATTTTCCCTCTGTGTCGCAGTGGCCAACTTGGTGCTATGGGTGGGTATGTCCTAAAAACTATGCCTCATAGATGCAGCCGACTGAGAACTAATCCTGGAAGCCACTATGTCTGGGTGACTTCTTTGTCCCTGATGTTTACTTAACCCCTTAAGATACCCTGCCTTCTGGAGACAGAAGGTGGACAGTTTTCAGAAGTCAGTCAGGTTTGGTGTTGTGAGATTGCAGAGGATGTGAAAGGAAACAACTCTGTTGAAGTAGTCTGTTGATGATAGCATGTAATTTATCGCATGAACTGGAACATTACTGAGCATGAAGTCTGTGCTCTTATTATGTCAGGACAGAAATTGGGAAGTGGAAGCAGCCAGGGCAGTAGGAGGCTAGAACCTTGAAGGGCACTGAAGCCATCATTTGTACTGAAGGGGGTAGGGGGTGGCACCAAGTTGGCATGAGGGGGAACCTTCTTATGTCAGCTGCTCTTTAAAAGAAAAAGAATTTTTAAAAGATAGTTCAAGTTAAATAGGTAGAAAATATTTAGGGAAATGAGTATGAAAATACTTCTTTATTTAACAGACTGAGTTCTATACAATTTTATATTTATGTCTTTCCAGGCCATTAATTTGACTAATTACAATACAGGTTCTTTGCTTTGCAGCCAGCTAATGAAAAACCCAAATGCCCAGAACTGCCCCCATTTCCATCATGTCTATCCACGATCCACTTCGTGATATTTGTGGTGGTGCAGACAGTGTTGTTCATTGGCTATATCATGTACAGGTAAGTCTCTTGATGACATTTGACCCCGCATGGTTTTGGATTAAATATCTGTGGAATTCAATAGGACCTAATGCAGCTTTCACTAACGGGCAGTTCACCTCAAAGCAAACTTGTTTACTAGTCTCTTGGGTGTGCGTGTTTAGAGTGTGTTTATCTCAGTATTATTTTCTACTTCAGAGGGCATTGATAGTTTAAACAATCCCATTCCTTTCCCGTTAAGTATATAGATCATCTATTGGTTTTTCTTTTCTTTTTTAGGACTCAGCAAGAAGCAGCTGCCAAAAAATTCTTTTGACCTTCATTTTCCAATATGTACATCATGTATGTATGTGCAAATGTTGTCTTCTGAGGGGATTTAGTATTTAAATTGCTTCATAGTCTAAGTTATTGAATTTTGTATAAAATAACTCTAGAAAACATTCATTTTTCAGTAAAAAATAAATCTTAAAGACAACCACATTTTGTTCATAGTACACATGTCTTTAAATTTAGTGAGTTTCTGGTAGGCAGAGTACAACCACTGAACAGAATAATGGCAAGCAAGACATTAAACAGAAGCCACTGCTGGCTGTGGACATTAACCTCCCCGCCTCTGGAGGTCTCTCTATTTATATAAACACACTTGCCTTTCTTCCCAGAATATGAGATCTAAACAAGAGCACCCTGTTCATGTGAGTCTTGTAACCAAAGTCGTTTTTAAATGTGAGAATTCCCTAACACAAGAATGGGTTCTAGAGTCCTTTGGTCCCAACACGGCTCCCTCTGGGATCAGGGATTTGTCTGGGAGCTTTAAAGGAGACGGCGGGCATCAGAGCATTTCATGAAATGTTTCCCCCCCTTTTTTTTTGAGACAAAGTTTCTCTGTATAGCTTTGGAACCTTTCCTGGAACTCACTCTGTAGCCCAGGCTGGCCTTGAACTCACAGAGATCCGCCTGCCTCTACCTCCTGAGTGCTGGGATTAAAGGCATGCACCACCACCACCCAGTGTCCCCTCTTCTTTCAAGGTGTATTTCACTTTGAAAAGAAATTTTGGTGGAAAATGCTTTTTGCCTACGTCATTTAGGTGAGGACAGTCCTATGACGATGGTTTTTAATGGTATTTTGCCTGGTGGTGTATTCATTCATGATGGCCATTGCCTTGAATATTTTTGTTCCAATAATGTCAATTCAGTATCACAGAAATAATTTTTAGACTTGTAATTTGTGGGATTCATTTCTTCATTTTGTTGAACATGCAGTGTGGCTCTGCTAGCATGTCCTGCAGCTATTCTAAAGTCACAGGAGGCACCAGGACACTCTGGTTTACATTAGTCTAGTTTGTGACTTCAGGGGGCTATGACAGAAGCGCTTTGAGAGATTTGAGAGCAAATTTGTCACGTAAATACTTACCTATTTCTCCTTTAAACGCTGGAAATCAGGATATTGTGAAGCATCCGTTAGTGAATTAACCAGGAACATTAGGCTGGCAAGAGTTGAGACAGCCACAGTTGGAGGTATTTGAGAAACCACCTGTGACCTTTCTTTCTTTTCACAGCTGGGCTAGACTTTCGCTGGCTTCAAGACAGTTTACCTCTTATTAAAGTAATGGTCTCGTTTGCTCTGGGATCCAGGACAACACTGTTTAATAAGATACGCAGCTAAATTGTTGTAAGTTTTCTCTCAGCTGTCATTTGCAGACTGGGCTAACAGCCCAGCCTATGTGAAGACTTTTGGAGAGCTCTCTGTGCCGTGGCACTACCTAACTGGCACCACGGGTGCAGGCTCCCCACACTTTATGCTGCCATTCATCACCCCAGATCCCAGAAATTCTGACAGTGCACTCGGTGCCTACATGAGACTCGGCAGCATAAAGTGCTCCTCACTCTCTCCTCTAGAGTTCACATTTGGAAACTCATGTTCCATAAGCGTCATCTCCCAGAACTTATTTACTAAAAAATCCTCCATGAAAATGTCCGAGTGCAGACACTGGGAAATCTTCTTGAAATAAAAGGCTGCCAGAGCCCAGTATTGAAAGCCCACAGTCGTGGGTGCCTGGACGTTAAGGGGATCCAGACCCGGGCAGGGTACGTTTTGGAGGTTGAAGTCTGAAGGGAAGTACACTGATCCTTCCTAATGTGATTGCAGCTAGCCATTGGAGCAGGAGCAGGAATCTTTTTACTTGTTAATTGCTTCAGAATCACTCTGCAAGGTCGTCCACATGGTCGGTCTGTCTGTCTGTCTGTGTTTTCCTCAGAATCATTAAGTCGGAATCTCCTGAGCACAACCCTGCTCTGTGGGACACGATCACTGCCAGAGTTCCTCCATTTCTGTAGTGTTCTGTGTAACTGGAATAATTCACTTCTCACACCAGCAAGTATTTTACAGGTGCCTTGGATTAAAACAAAATTTATTTTAAAACTTCAATGTAATTTTATGATGCCACTTTTAAAAGAAGTTGCAATTATGTAATTGCTGATAAACTTGTGTCATATGCTGTTTGCATTATAATTATTTGAATGCTTTATTTAGCTTAAAACTTCACCTGAAGTCACAAACAATAAACCAGTGTTTTGTCACATTTTTAAGGCACTTCAGTGTTCTTCCAAGTATGGCCCATGGACCAGCCATTCGGTTCATGGAATGCTTCTTAGGAATACAGATTCCAAGGCCCCATTCCAGCCCAGCTGCGTCACAACTCAGGTGGGGCTTCAGAGTGTCCATCCCCTTCCATAGACACCACAGACATAGCACACTGACAGTTGAGAGCCACTGACATGAGGAGTAGGAAAAGGGCTGTGGTGGGAGTTTGTTTTGTTGGCTCAAAGCTGAGCTACGCACATTTTCACTGTCTTTGAGATGGGCAACTCTGCTGATTCTTCTGTGCTTGTTGGTGTTTGTTTTGCTAAGACTCTTTGTTCATCAGCGACTACACACTAACCGGTTGTTAGCTGACCTCTTAGCGCTTCAGTGATGACTTCGAAACTTGTAGAATCGTCTTTGGCTCATGGGAAAGCTTAAGCGTGCCCATCATGAAGCCTGCCTGCTGAAGCTGTGGCCTTCCTGATTGTCACCTCCTTTTATCCCAGACAGCTGCATCTGTTGATAACTTGAGGAGAATGGGAAAGACTTGAATAAGGGGTCGCTTACCTGCTGCTCTGTAGAGAATCGGTCTTTGTAAAGAACTGATTGGTTGCTGGAGTCAGATTCTCTCGAAGGGCCCCCATGCTGGTTGGAGAAAGGCGATGAACAAATTAGTCATTGGGAATTTTGTATTTGTAAGATTTAGGGTGAGATCAGCTCTTGCAACTTTTTAAATCTGTATGTTGCCCTTTTTAAGGTATTTCTTTTATGATGTTCAAGTTTAAAAGGGTTTTCTATCCACTGTCAATTTCAACTATATAACATTTTGTCAAGTTTTTTTGTTTGTTTGTTTTTGTTTTGCTTTTCTGATTGTTACTTGATGCTAGCTGGAATTCAAGAAATGTCAATGACCTTATTCAAATAAAAGAAATATTTTAGTAAATTGACTTTTTCCTTCATTGATTTGATGTTGGGGCCTAAGTAGCTATTTTCCAGATAGGTCCTCTTTTGCAGTTGTGTTTTATTTACCGGTGATCTGCACCTTGATGCTGTTTCCTTTCCAGTGGCTCACAAGCAGCTTTAAGAGAAGAAGGGTTATTCTTCAGCTTCTGATTCCCAGTTAGAGCACGTCATTTTGGGGAAGTCAAGGCAGGCACTTGAAGTAGCTAGTCACATGCAGTCAGGAGCTAGGAGAGAAGGAATGTATGACTGTTTACTCATGCCCACCCCTGCCCTGCACTGAAGTCAGGAGATGCCACCCACAATCAACAGCCTTGCCACCTCCATGAACACAGTGAAAACAGTCTCCTCCAGAAGTGTCCACAGGTCAGACGTCAGCAGTCCCTCATGGAGATGCTATGCCCAGGTTATTCTTTAGTTATCTGGCAAGCTGACAACTAAAACTGCCCATCACACTGTCCTGGGTGGCCTGCCATCCATGGCATCAATGCCTGAAGAGAGAAGGTGGCAGGAGGAGAAGAGAACTAGAGATGGGTAAACGTTCACCTTTGCCAGGCATGAAAAGCACGTATTAGTTAAAACTATGTATTTGGTGTTTTCGCCCGTTAATGACCAAATGCTGAAGGCCGGGAATGTAGAGCACTGATAGAACACCTGTCCAGCATTTGGGGGGCACTTGGCTCAATCCCTAGAATTGCACAAAGTGTATAAACATAATCAAAAGCTGGCTTAAGTGTTGCCGGTTTAGCTGGACTATTCCGTCACTTCTAATTAGTAGCAACATCAAAAAAAAAAAAATGGCCACCAATGGTGGGAGTTGATTATAATGCTAGCACTGGGGGATCGAGGGAGAAGATTGAAGACTGAGCCGTTACTACAGATGCTTTCCTCGGAAACCCGAAGAAGAAACCATGCCACAAACCAGCTCTGGTGTGAACAGAAAAAGCCAAGGTGAAAGACCCAAATGAATTTGTACTGTGTGGATGTCATATCTTTTCTAAAATTTAATTTCATTAATGGGATTACTGTTACTCTAGTAAAGTCCTTAGGTCAGATGCCATACAATTTTTTTCAAGCTGAGTAAGTCACAACTAATCAGTATTTCTAAAGGTGAGCCACTATATCAAGATTAGACACGGTTTAAAACAACAAAATGAAACAGCAAAGCAGCATGGCAGCCGGAAAAGTGTGGGGCCAGCTCCCACCTTCTCCAGGGTTCCTATGAGGAGGAGAGAGGGATAAGAAATAATTAGGTAGAAAGAGAGACCTAGGTGACAAGAAGAAAGAGACATGGGATAGCTTCGGGAGGGCCTGGATCAAAACCCAATGGCCCCTTCTGCCTCTTCAAAAGGGCTTTTTATAACATTGCCAAGAGGCGGGACAAAAGACACCACACAGCCAAGTGTAGACCCTTACAAACACCTGGTAACCATGCCCGTGGTCAAATCATCCCTTTATGCAGCCCTGCTGGGTAAAGCAAGCTCAGATTCTGGGACCCTGAGTAATTTCTCACTAGGAAACCTCTGGGTCTCTACAGGAAAGTAGGTAGACTAACTGCAGATTTTCACCTTTCCCTCTTCAGATTCAATCCCCTAGTCTGATCCCTCACAGACCACCTGCTGAGACCTCCTCTCCTTCCCTGCCTCCATCTCTAGTGGCCTACACAGATCTTCCCTTCTACTCTTACTTCCCCTGACTCCACTCTATCTCAGCCCTAACAGCAGCAGGCATTCCCTGGGAACACTCAGGCCAGGGAAGCAAGTAGGCTGAGTGCAGATATGGCATCTCCCTAGGCCTACCACAGAAGCAAGTAGGCCAGCAAAGCAGGTAAACAACCTTCAGATCCTCACTCTCCTCCAAATCCAGTCCCCTCACCTCAGCTCTGTAACAGACTGCCTGCTGGGGCCTCGCCTCCCACTCTGCCTCCATTCCTAGGGGACTAAGCCTAACCTGATGGAACACCTTACTTTCCTCCCTCCTTTGAACCTCCGACTCCTAGCCCTTCCCTGTTATTAAGTGCCAGCTCCCAATACTGAGATACATATTTTACCCAGACCCCCAGTGGCCACACCTGGTAGGATCTCAGCATTCCCTACCAGGCAACATACAGCCACCACACTCTCTAAGAACAAAAGAGGGCAACAGACCGGCCCCCCTCACCCATTACCACCTTCTGCCAGTGAGAGCTGGTCCTGACACTCAGCATCTACAGCACACAAGAGAGAGGGTTCTGCCCCCACCCCCAATCTGGGCAGCACACTGGAGCTGACCCTGTTGGGGACAAAGGTGAGCCAACCCTGGGCATGAGAGCAACAGAGCTGACCCCACCACCTCATCTGCCATGCCCTCCCCACTCCACCCATTGCTGTAGCAGTTGAGAGAGCTGGCCCCAGGGTCACAAGAGTGAGAGAACTTGCCCCGCCCCTCACCAGCTGCAGCACAAAGGAGAGCAGGGCCCTGCACCCCACCTGAACAGCACCCTAGAGCTGACCCTGTTTGTTGAGCATGGGACCAGCTCTGAGGGAGTGAGAGCAGGAGAGCTGATCCCCGCCCCCTCCCCCATGTACTCCCCTACATCAATCCCTCACCTGGGCAAAACGGTAGAGCTGGCTCTGATAGTGTGAGTGACAGGATCCGAGGTTCTGAGAGCAGGAGCACTGGCCTTGCTCCTTGTGGAAGGCTGCATTGGATGAGGGAGCTGAGGCAGGGCTGGGGGGAGCTCATCCAGGTAGTGATAATGAGGGAGAGCTGGCGGCAGGCTGACTAACCCAGCTACCACCCAGGTCCAGAACCAGTACACCCCAACATCCACCTCATCTATGAACTGTTGGAACAGGTGAAGGGGATGAACCTACAGATCCAAAACAGCAGGATCTCCACGACACAGGGCAATAACAGGATATCCAAGAAATGTCCCAGTGAGAGCCCGTAATCAGTGGTGTAGCAGAAGCCAGAGGCCTCCAGACCAATGACTCTGGCAGTGAACACTTGCAAGTAAAGACAGGCCACACTACAACTACCACAAGATATTCTCTCTCTCTCTCTCTCTCTCTCTCTCTCTCTCTCTCTCTCTCTCTCTCTCTCTCTCACCTCACTTGTTTTTTGTCTTGGTTTTTTATTTTTTTTTTAAATTTGGTTTTGTTTGGGGGATGGGTTGCAAGGGCAGAAGGTGAATATGAGGGGGGGACAGGGAGAAAAGTGAGATCAGAATGCATAATGTGGAATCCACAAAGAATCAATTAAAGTTAAAAGAGATGGGGGGAGGGTGGGCAACAGGAACCAAGGAACACATATCGGACAAACACAAGCCCAGATATCCTTGTATTACACCCAAGAAACATAGCTTAACATCAAGGATAAATATCACCTCAGCATAAAAGGATAGAAAAAGATTTGAAGCAAATGGATCTAAGAAGTAAGTTGGAGTACCCATTTTAATAACTATCAAAATAGACTCAAAACCAAAACTACTTGGAAGAGATACAGAAGGATACTACATACTAATGGAAAAACCCACCAAGGGAAAGTTGCCTTCCTTGACTTCTATGCACCAAATACAAATAAAAGAAATACTACTATAGCTTAAATCACATGTTGCCCCTCAAACAATGATAAAGGAGATGATATCAAAACCTTACTTTTGCCAACAGATGGGCCACCCAAATAAAAACTAAACAGAGAAATACTGGAGCTAACTGACATAGACCAAATAGACCTAGCAGATGTTTATAGAACATTTCACCCAAACACAAAAGAATATACTTTCTTCTCAGCACTTCATTGAAGTTTCTCCAAAATTTACCACATACCTGGACACAAAGCAAGGCTCAACAGATACAAAAAAATGGAAGTGTCACTCTTCATCTTATGTGAACACCACAGATTAAAGCTAGATATCAACAGAAACAACAGAAAGCTTACAAACTCATGGAAACTAAAAAATTCACAAATGAATGAATAATGGGTCAAGAAAGAAATTTAAAGTCTTTCTAGAATGAATGAAAATGAAAACACAACATACCCAAACTTATAAGACACAATGAAGGCTGTTATGTGAGGCAAGATCATAGCACTAAGTGCCTACATTAAAAAATTAGCCGGCGCACACCTTTAATCCCAGCACTCGGGAGGCAGAGGCAGGAGGATCTCTGGAAGTTCGAGGCCAGCCTGGACTACAGAGTGAGTTCCAGGAAAGGTGCAATGCTACACAGAGAAACCCTGTCTCAAAAAAACCCCCAAAAAATAATTAATTAATTAATTAATTAATTAAAATGGAGAGATCTCATAGTAGCAACTTAACATTATACCTGAAAGCTCTAGAACAAAAGGAAATTACACCCCAAAGGAGTAGGTGGCAAGAAATAATCAAACTCAGGCTGAAACCAATAAAACAAAAACTATATATATATAATGAATATGTATTTTATATATGTGTATATATATTCTTTATATAATGAATATATGTATATATTCTTTCTATATAATGAGTATATATTTTATATGTATGTATATATATTCTTTATATATAATAAATGTATATTTTATATATATATATGAAGAATTAATGAAACAAACAATTGGTTCTTTGAGAAAAATCAATATGATTAAAACCCTTAACCAAATAAAGTAAAATGCAGAGAAAGATGATCCAAATTTAAAAAATTAGAGATGAAGGGGACATAACAACAGATACCAAGGAAATCCAGAGAATCATAAGGACATACTTTAAAAACATCTACTTCACCCACATTGGAAAATCTAAAAGAAATGGATAATTTTTTTTATATAAACCACCCATCAAAGCTAAATCAAGATCAAACAAACAATATAAACAGACCTAATAACTACGACTGAAATAGAAGCTGTAGTAGATTATTTTAAGGTGTGTTAATGTTGTTGGTGTTGCAGCTGTGTTACTGTGCCTGTCTAAAACACCTGATGGTCTAGTAAGGAACTAAACAGCCCATAGCGAGGCAGGAGAAA